ACATGTAGTATATAGAGGTGAGTGGTCTGTGCACGGACGCAGTGCTATCAATAGCTACTGTGGACCCCGGGGTCGACACACAGTTACATGTGACTGCGGGGAGTTTCGTTGGAAACAACGCTTCCTTCCGTCTTCCTTTATAGCAAACTCCACTACTTCTAATTCAAATCTACCAGGCTGCCCTACTCTGGTCTCATGCCAAATCTGCCGTTCTTTCGACAGGGCTTAGATACCTTCCTTGGTGCCCGACACCGCCGTCATAGAGTGGCTTTGCGACATCGAGAGAGCGTACCAGTCCGGATCTTGCGACCACCAACCGAACCCTTTGTCGCTATCTTGCTCGTCAGTTAACAGGAAGCGCGCCCGGGCTGAAGAGCAACGATTTTCAGCCGTAAAGCGGCAAGGTCGACCTCTTACGCACACCCACTACAGTCTAACGATACAACGAAGAAGCGCCCGGCACCGTCCCCATTGAAGAAAAAGCCAGCACAACTGGATGACTTCGATACCCACAATGACACTACGGCTACGACAGCGTTCCGTATGCATCTGGAGGAACTGGACCAACAAGAGACACCTAGACCACTTCAAAGATATACGGCACAAGTAGGAAGAAAAACGACCGCCAATCGCACTGAATGTTTGCTTATGATGAAACGTCGGACTATACAGCACGAATGAGACTGGATGTTATAACGAACGTTCCGGGTTTACATTCGACGTCTGGCCTCTCTCCTGAGCTCGTCGCGCTCATCGGTACGCCTGAGTCTGTCTCCTCGGCACAATCTGCATCATCTTCAGGGAAGTATAGTAGCCCTTATTAATACCTCTACTCCTAAACTCTTTAAGAGATCTTAGCGGCTAGTCTATTGGACTACCTATATATAAAGATCTCTTTATACTACCTGGATAGTAGGTATTAGATACTTAGATCAAGATTTGATTACAGACCGGCCTATAGCGTATAGTATCATAACAAATCTTATATGCTTTATAGTTGTGTATAGTACGTTCAGAACTCCTGCGCAACCAATAAGAGAGATCCCATCGGTCCTCAGCCGCCAAGCCTTGCGGAGAAAGCCCCCCAACGCCACCCGCCCACACCGCCACAAGGCATCATCTCCCGTACCTGCCAAGCCGCGCCGAACTGTGGCTGAAATGGCCTGATCATCTGGCCATTGCAACAATTCGCAGCCTCAACCGTCAGGCCATTTCGCCGTCCTCCTATTCGACCACAGGGCCACAAATACGCCCATCTACCCCTTACACCACCACCACACCTCCCCACCTCTCCCTCTGCCCATTTCGACGCGCCGAATCGCGGAAAGGAAAAAGGAAAAGCAGGGTTAAAGATGGGACTCCTTACGCACGCGTCGGATTTGCTGCCACAGCAGCTGCAGGCCCAGCCGACGTACCAGCTCGTTGCGCTGGGTGTGTCGACGGCGTTTGTGCTCGCGGTCGTGCTGAATGTGTTGGGTCAGTTGTTGCCGGTTCGGAGGAGGGGGAGCGAGCCGCCGCTCGTGTTTCACTGGGTGCCGTTTATTGGGAGCACGGTTACGTATGGCATGGATCCGTACAAGTTCTTTTTCGAGTGTCGGAAGAAGGTATGTTGAATCTACACCTGGGGCGCGAAGGGGAAGTAGGAATTGGGTGGATTGGGTGAAGAAGAGGGGACTGATTGGGACAAGTGTGAAGATGTTGGGACTGGACGCGCAAATCGCTGACGGGATGTTGTTACAGTATGGAGACGTCTTCACTTTCATTCTTCTAGGCAAGAAGACGACTGTCTGCTTGGGCACCAAGGGCAACGATTTCATCCTGAACGGAAAGCTTAAGGATGTCAATGCGGAGGAGATTTACAGCCCCTTGACCACACCGGTGTTTGGCAGCGATGTTGTTTACGACTGCCCGAACTCCAAACTCATGGAGCAGAAGAAGGTATGTCTATACTACACAATCCCGGCGCGGCTTCTGTTCAGCATGGATGTTGCGCTTCGGTCACTCTCCAACCGGGACCTTTCCATATCTCAATCTCACTGCTTACACCTCCCATAGTTCGTCAAATTCGGCCTCACCTCCGAAGCCCTCCGCTCCTACGTCGAGCTAATCACAGCCGAAACCCGTCTCTACACCTCCACGACCCCCCTCTTCGCCGGCTCCAAAGGCCAAGTCGACATCCCGCGCGCCATGGCCGAACTAACCATCTACACGGCCTCGCGGTCCCTCCAAGGCCGCGAAGTGCGCGAGAAATTCGACTCGACCTTCGCAGACCTGTACCACTACCTGGACATGGGCTTCACGCCGATCAACTTCATGCTGCCCTGGGCGCCGCTGCCGCAGAACCGGAAGCGCGATTTCGCGCAGCGCAAGATGACGGAGACGTACATGAACATCATCCAAGAGCGGCGGGCGCAGGTGGCGCGGATGGAGAAGGAGGGCAAGGAGGGCGGTCGCGTCGAGGGTCAGGAGGAGGATATGATCTGGAACTTGATGGGCTGCACGTATAAGGATGGCAAGCCGATTTCGGACAAGGAAATCGCGCACATGATGATTGCGCTGCTGATGGCCGGCCAGCACTCCTCGTCCGCCACCATGTCCTGGATCCTGCTGCGCTTGGCCAGTCGCCCGGATATCACGGAGGAGCTGCTCGAGGAGCAGAAACGCGTACTCGGTGCTGAGCTGCCGGACTTGACCTATGAGGATCTGGGCAGGCTGCCGCTGCACGCTCAGGTGGTCAAGGAGACGCTGCGCCTGCATAGCCCGATCCACAGTATCATGCGCAAGGTCAAGTCGCCCATGGCCGTCGAGGGCACGCCGTATGTGATCCCGACCACGCACGTCCTCCTCGCTGCCCCGGGCGTGACGTCAAAATCCGACGAGTTCTTCCCGGAGTCCGACTTGTGGGAGCCGCACCGTTGGGACGCCGACAACAACGAGAAGACTGAGAAGAAGGAGAAGAAGGAGAAGAAGGATGGGGAGAAGAAAGACTACTCCTCCCTGGCCCCCAAAATCGCCCCCCCAACCACCGAGGAAGAGGAGAAGACAGACTACGGCTACGGCCTCGTGTCCAAGGGCGCCTCGTCGCCTTACCTCCCCTTCGGCGCCGGTAGGCACAGGTGTATCGGCGAGCAGTTTGCTTACTGCCAACTCCAAACTATCCTCGTGCAGATGGTGCGGGACTTCAAATTCAGGAATCTCGACGGTGGCAATGAGGTCGTTGGAACGGATTATTCGAGTTTGTTCAGCCGCCCGTTGCCGGGTGCTGTTGTGGCGTGGGAGAGGAGGAGCGAAAGCGAGAAGGTGTAAGTAGATGTAGGTGGACCGGGGGAAGGGTGGATTTGTACGCTGCTGGGAAAAGTGAAAGGGGTTACGTGCTTATACCTATAGAGGGAAGAGGGAAGAGTGGGAGCACGCCCCAGCGCGGTTAGGAAGGTAATCGATAATTATAGACGTCTGTACCATGCGAATGCACCCTGCAGCCTGAACCGTATCTTCGGCGTGAGTGTGTAACTTATGGTCGTCTGTCCTGCGTGTGTACGAGACGCCGAATCGTGTGGTCATGCAGCGCTACGTCCTGCGGAAACACGAAAGTGAGGTACGTGGGTTGCGTGTGCACTTTTTTCTTCCTGTGGTGGGACTCCATCCATACGTGAGTGATTTCATTCTGGATGCGTTCAGAGTATCGATACCGATGCCATGATTGTGCGCTATTGTGATTGTGGCCTCCACGCTGTCTCATGTAAGTCGCGAAGCTTCCGTTTCAGGAAAGCGTGCAGCTGAGTTACCTTAGGTAGGCACTGGAGGAAGGCGCACCACACGCACCTTCCGTTTTGCGCGCGTGTGACGCGGGTACTCCGATCTGGGATTGGAAATGCGAGTGAGCTTGTTTGAACGTCGTGTTACTTACAATACTGACCTTCTCTTTACTGAGCTTCTCTGTGTTGGACGGGATGTTCTCGTCTCGTTGCTTTACACGGTAGCTTGGACGACTCAGCAATCGACTGCTCCACCTTGGCTACACGCATCTTCAAGTAGCAGTGATCGTCGTATTCGGCACAATTCAGTCTCGACAACCTCCTGCTACTTATGTCACCTCTGCAACCCTTCCTAACCAATCAATGAAAGTTACGACAAGGCTGTCAACACGTTTGAAGGCGCCGGAGATAATTGCAGAGTACCAGGCTAGTCCAGGACCTTCCCTCCGGTGTTCAGACATATCAACGACGAGGTCCCGTTTTGCTACTGGTAGGGTTATCCAGTCGTGGAACGCTACCTTTTTCAAAGAGCTGGATTGGGTCATGCGGAGTGTGGTATCAATGTACACCAGAGGGCATAGTCAAGGTAGGTAGACCACCTTCTCTGAGCACACCCAACAGATACACAGTACACATGAAGAAGCGAAAGAGATGTGACGAGACACAAAAAGACGGATAAGAGCCCAGTCAAGGGCGTCTCTAACACAAAGGCCAATCCCCAAGCATTTTTATAGCATCCCACAAGATCGAAGAGCCAAGATCGGTGAAGTAGGAGCTGCCAACATGCCACAATTCCGAACTACTTCATTCTGGAAGGAGAGAGGACTTTTGAAATGTTATGTCCCGTACTTGGCTGAGATGGGAGTCCACCTGGCCCGACGCGGGCGCGAAGCGTTAGTGGCGACTAACCTGCAGATCGCCGTACAAGAGGCAAGGTGGCCCGCCCGTCTGGCAGCTCCTTTCCACTCACATCAATTTACGAACCATCATCAAAGCAAGTCGCCTGGTCAAGCAACATGGATATACAGGAACCATCGGACCCTGCTGGTACTGCTCGCCTCACCGGCATCACAGCGTCTTGCCACCGGCCCGAGCAAGACTAGCAACGCCGAAAACGTTGACCCACGGCGCCCGTCCTTCTTCCCTCAGTTTCAAGGGATATATACTATTTTAACCTTCCTCGACCCAACAACGAGCCTGAGTAGCTCGTCTACTCGGTTCACTTGATCAGTTGTTATAACCCCTGCCGGGGTAGCTCAATCGGTAGAGCGTGTGGCTCTTATAACCGCTTAATTCGAGTGGGTTAGAGATCACCTCAAGGTCGCGGGTTCGAGCCCCGCCTTCGGCTATTCCTAAGCCCGACCTGTTAACAGGTCGTGACCATCCTTTTTGGCTGGACTTCTCTTCTTTTGCTGGTTTGGGGAAATGAAGTTTTGTGATAGGAGTAGATGGGTTTTGGCTGGGCGGCGGGCAGTTTGGGAAAATGGTATGGGCTTGGCAGGGAAATTCGAAGGGCCATATGGGCTTGTCGCGGACGAAGAGATGGCGTTGAAGGAAATGGTGGAGGGATGAGGTTGGCGGCTTTTTTGGTACGGCCATGTGCGCAGGCTCAAGGGTTCGCAATTCTGCAGAAGACTTGCAACCAAGGCTCTGTCGTAGCGCCTTCTACTCTGCAGGTATACAGGTCCGGCAGACAGAGCGAAGAGACCTGCCTTCTGTGCCTTATCCATACTCTAGCTTGACCACATCACCGTCACCGGTGCAGCATTTCTTACCTCCCTCTCCGTCCTCACACCCGTCTTCCGCATCTCTCACAGACCCAGACATGGTCCCATGAAGCTCCATGACGATCTCGCGTCCACCCACCCATTGGTCTCCATTCAACAATCCCCGACCCCTCGGAGTCATTGGCTAATCAAAAAACATGTACACCCCTCCCAGCGCCTACCAACTCCAACATCCATACATTCATCCACACTCCCAACTGACTCGACGCGCAGATCGACAACGCCACGCGCGACTCCAGCGGCGGCAAGTTCCTGAGCTTCGACGACACGCAGTACGCCTGGTAGAGGCTGGCCGTCACATTCGCAAGGGTATTAAAACACCCTAGGATTTGCGGACCGAGCGGCTGATGAGACGGGGAGGAGGCTTAATTGGCCTGATGGATGCAAAGAACGGACCGAGGTGACGCGAACGAAGATGGAGGCTAGACGTCAACTAGGAAATCTGAGCACTGTGGTTGGAAATTGAGCAGGGGGGCCCAGCGGGCTTGGAGCGTGTAAGGGCCACTCCATGAGTGTCTATTCCATGGGCTTTCTAGCTATTCACATCGGATACGGTGCTTCCAAGTCAGCGTTACTGTCACCGTTACCGAATCGTCGGCACGTGTTGCCGTCGGTATCTCGACAGCGACTGGGTTCCAGCACGCGCTCGCGCGCAATTGAAGAGAGCAAATTGTAGGTCTAGCCAGTAGACCAGACCGTGCCCCGCTTCGTCGCGCCCGCAGACCCCCTGTATTTCCCGCCCACCACTCCGCTGTACCACTGTTCGCACTCTTAGGGTATCAAGCCACCTCTGCTCTACCTCCACACCATTCCTGCCCATCTTCACGATATCAATGAAGCGACGATCCAAATCTGCCGTCCAGCCTCAATCCGAATCACTCTCCTCCATAGCATCGTCATCCACATCCATCTCCGCCTCCTCCTCTTCCCCATCGCCTTCCACCCCAGCAGCCCCGTTCCCATCAACCCCATCCCCTCCGTTCTCCCTCTTCGCACTACTTCCCTCTTCCTCCGCTTCATTCTCCCGGCCCCTCTTCCCCAACACACTCCCCTCCCTACTCGCCACACCCTGCAATCCCGGCGGCGCGGCGAGCGTGGCCGCTGTACTGGCGCTCTGGGCGCCTGGCGGGGCGGCGAAGACGGAGGCTTGGAGACTGCTGGCTGGTGCGGCGTTGGTGCCGTTCGTTGCGGAGAGGGTGGTGGTGGGGGTAGGTTGCTTAAAGGTGCCGTCGAGCTTGGAGAGGGTGTGGGATTTGCTGCGCGCGTAGGTGATTTTCTGGTGGTGGGTTAGCGGGGTGAGGACGTGGGAACATGAGCGCGAGGGGGAAAGGGGGAGGGGGGAGAGCAGGGGAAGGAGGGAGAAGAAAGAGGAAGGTGGAGAAAGGTGGAGGAGAGGGCTATTCGCAACCGGGTTGTAGTGCGCACCCTCGCCCAACCAGCCCTCTCATGCGCAACCACCTTCCTTCTTCCCCTCTGCCCATCCTCTTCCCACCCCAGATGCTATAGACACAGAATCTCCAACTCACCATAGGCTTCCCAAAAACCTCCATGCCATCCAGCTGCCTCAGCGCCTGCGCACTAGCGTGAACATCGCGGAACAAAACGTGCGCCTGTCCGCGCATCTTCATCGTCTTGAGCGCGACAATGTCGAGGATCGGGCCGTAGGTGCTGAAGAGCATGTACAGTGACCGCTTCAGGTCGTCTTTCTGCAGTTTGTCTGGCAGGTTGCTGAGGTAGAGGGTGCGGTTTGGCATTGTTTTTGCGGCGGCCATGTTGGCTGGGTTCGGAAGGGGGGTTGGCGCGAAGGGAAGTGAAGAGTATCGTAAGGTCGGGGGTTTGGATTGGAGGGTGTGGTGGTGTGTGAAGATGTGGGTTGTGAAGATGGGCGTGGATGTACAGGAGCTACCGTAGAGTCGCGACTTGTACCGCAGCTTCACCTAAACTTCTCGACTTCCCAGCGTCCCCAATCGCGAACAGAAGCCGAGGATGAGCCGACACGGCCTCCGCGTCCGCATTACGTAGCCCCCCGCCCTTTCCACCTCCAACCACCACCACCACCGCCGAACACGCAACACACACACTCACCACACCCTCACAACCACCACGCACAGCAAACCCGGCAGTAGAGACCACCCCCCTCCTGCCACACCTCACTCACCATGTCCACCCCCGAAATCCACCACCTCTTCCACGCCGGCATCGCCGACCACAGCTTCTCCTCCGACCACACCACCCTAGCCGTAACCCGCGACAGCACCATCGACCTCTACGCCCGCAGCGGCAACACCTACACGCACCGCGACACCCTCCTCGGCCACGACAAGCTCGTCACGGGCGTCGACATCGCGCCGCGCAGCGGCAAAATCGTAACCTGCAGCCAGGACCGCAACGCCTACGTCTGGGAGCAGTCCAACGGGACCTGGAAGCCAACACTGGTGCTTCTGCGCATCAACCGCGCTGCCACGAGCGTGCGCTGGAGCCCCTCGGAGGACAAATTCGCCGTCGGCAGCGGCGCCCGCGTCGCGGCCGTCTGCTACTTCGAGTCCGAGAACGACTGGTGGGTGTCGAAGCACCTGAAGAAGCCCTTGCGGAGCACGGTGACGTGTGTGGCCTGGCACCCGAACAGCGTGCTGCTGGGCGTCGGGTCCACGGACGGCCATGCGAGGGTGCTGAGTGCGTTCGTCAAGGGGGTTGATGAGCGGCCGGCCCCGAGTGCGTGGGGTGAGAGGCTGCCGTTTAATACTGTCTGTGGCGAGTTTTTGAACCAAACCGCGGGATGGGTTAGGGGCGTGGGGTTCAGTCCGAGTGGGGACGCGATGGCGTTTTGTGGGCAGGATAGCACGGTTACGGTGGTTTATCCGGGCGGGGAGGGGGAGGCGCCACGGAGCGTGGTTAGTGTTAATGCGGTGGGTCTGCCGTGGGCGGATTTGCTCTGGGTGGGCGAGGGCGAGATCGTTTGTGCGGGCTATGTGAGTTCCTATCTTCTACCCTTTCCCCTTTTCCATCTTCTATCCCCTTTCTGTTTCAACCATCTCCCCAAAACCAAAACTAATCCAAACCCACAGGACTGCGCCCCCTACCTCCTCCGCGGCGACGCCTCCGGCTGGTCCGTCTCCCACTCCCTCGACTCCACCGCCGCGTCCAAAGGCGCCCAGCCCTCCGGCGAAGAATCCGCCCTCAACATGTTCAAGCAGATGGATCTGAAGGGCACTTCTCGCAGAGATGATACGAAGCTCAAGTCTGTACACCAGAATACTATTACGAAAGTTAGGAGCTATGAGGTCGATGGGCAGGGGAACGTGAGCAGGATTTCTACTTCGGGCGTTGATGGGAGGGTTGTTGTTTGGGATTTGTAGTGGGGTGATTGAGGGGGTTGGGGGGTTGATGGGGGGTGATGGATGGGTAGGAAGTGGAAGTGGCAAGTGCTGCCTACAGAAACGGACCTTTGGACATTGGAACCAAAAATACAGATACAGACAATCTCAACACGGTGCCAGCCACCGTCTATATAAAGCTTCACTGCCAATCCCATCTACTACCTATCCTCAGAGCCAGACAATAACGGCTACCTTCCGTACATATTCCCTCCCCCTACCTAACCAACCCTCATCTACTATAGCAGTCACCTCTCTCCGCATTTAGCTACGTACACCTTTTCCCCTTTCTCTACCCCTCCATCGCCCCTCAGTGAACTCCTCTTGGGCGGCTTGGGTGGCTTAGGTGACTTGAGTACCTGGGTTCTTGGGTGACTTGAGTGGCTTGCGTGCTTGCGTGCCCGCGTACCTCTCTCCTCTTGAGGTAGCCTGGGCGCCTGCGCGCCGCGCAGTGCGCTTCGAGGAAATGGAGAAAAGACCGCAAGGTACATGTAGCCAAGGTAGTAAAAGGGTTCATGTTCGGGTTAGAGCCCGTCGAGCCACCTTAACAGGCACACTCAACCCTACCCCCGCCCCTGCGATCCCGATCCAGAGGAGCAGATAGGCTAGAGGCGTTATCGTCGTCGTTGTTCCAGCTGTAGATGTGGATGTGGGTGCAGATGGCGCTGTCGCACCCAGACCACTGTGGCTAGGAGATGGAGATGGAGGTGTGGGTGTAGGTGTGTGGCTAGCGGCCATAGCGTCGGCGGTCTGGCACGGGTGGATGTGGTACGCGGGGGTGGCGGTTAGGGGGTGGTACTGTGGGTGCTGTTAGTATGGTGCTCGGAGGGGTGGAAGGGGAATAGGGGGAGTGCGGTGGGCGGAGCGAAGGATGGGGTTGGTGATGGAGGTGGGAGGGAGGCGTAGGGTTGGGTAGAGGAGTAGGGAGAGAGGAAGGAGCGGAGTGGGGAAGGAAGGAAGGGGGGAGGAAGGGAGGGACGGAGGGAAGGATGAGAGCGAAGCAAGCCCGCAGCAAAGCCTCCGCTGGGCCCCCAAAGTCCATGCCTTCCATGTAGAGCCAAAGCCCAAAACCCAACCAAACCCAAAATCCAAAAGCCAAAAGTCATGAGATGAAGAGGAAGGCCCAGCCAGTCCCTTGCAAGGAAATAAAACTCACCCCCATCGTCAACGCCCCCAACCCCGCCACC